AGTTATGTGACCACTTGCACAAGAATGATTTGTTTGAGGATTTTCAGTCAGGATTTAGAGTCCATCATAGTACAGAAACTGCATTGGTGAAAGTCACCAATGATCTTCTCCTAGCCTCAGACAAAGGACTTGTCTCCATACTTGTCCTCTTAGATCTCAGTGCTGTTTTTGACACCATTGATCACAGCATCTTACTGCAGAGACTTGAACATGTTATTGGGATTAAAGGAAATGCACCAAGTTGGTTCAAATCTTATTTATCAGAAAGGTTCCAATTTGTTAATGTTGATGATGAATCTTCCACACAATCTAAAGTTAGTCACGGTGTTCCACAGGGCTCTGTGTTAGGTCCAATTCTCTTCATTTTATACATGCTCCCTTTAGACAATATTATCAGGAAACATGGCATAAATTTCCATTGCTATGCAGATGATACTCAGTTATATTTATCTATGAAGCCAAATGAATCAGATCAGCTGGTCAAACTTCAAGCATGTCTTAAAGACATAAGGGCCTGGATGACCTGTAACGCAAAACAATGTTGTGATCCATAGAATCAAAAGCTTTGGGTAAATCAATAAAAAGAGCAGCAAAATTTAATTTTCTATCCAAAGCCTGTAAAATATTAATAACAACCTTTGAGACCACTGTCAAAGTGCTATGAGCAGGTCTAAAGCCAGACTGGCATGTATTCAGAATAAAATTACTAGTTAAAAATTCTTTACCTGATTATTAACAATCCTCTCCAATATTTTAACCAGGCAGGAGATTTTAGATATAGGGTGAAAATTATTGAGTTCATTTGAGGGACCCCCCTTATGCAATGGTACAACATACAGTAGACAATCTTCCAGAGAATACGAATGCATTCTGTGAATAAAGTCACATTTAAAATATGAGCAATACATCCCATGATTAGTGGTGCAGGCAACTACAAAAAACCTGGATGCAGCTTATCTGCCCTGACAGCCATTTTTGGGTTGAAAACAATAAAGAGCATTTAGGACTTCACCACAGGTAAAAGGTCTAAGGGCAAAACTAGGAAATACAGGCCTCTGGGGACTCTTTACTATCAGAATGTCCCAGTACTGTAAGTCCCTAAAAAGCCTCCAGTTAATCCAAAATGCTGCAGCCAGAGCACTGACAGGAACTAGCAAGAGAGATCATATCTCTCCCATATTAGC